GTTTGTCGACATGGCCCATACTATGCCAGCTTTGCGGAAGGCCGCCTGAGCAGGGCAGTCAGTCCGGGGACGTGAGGCGATAGATCGCATGCATCGCTTCGCAAGTTTTGCGTAAGGTCACTTTTGCGGGTCGTCACGGCGCAAGGTCGTGACGTGATGAATGCGATCCAGGCCTCCTTATTCTGTACAGCAAGGATTTTCGGCCTGGGTCAGCTTCGCAAGCATGATCAATTAATTATGAGTTATGAACATCTTGACGAGGCGCCTGTCACAGCTGGCAGCCTTGACAATGGCGCAGCGAATGTCAGCTCCGACTCCGATGTCACCGTATAGTCCAGCCCCCGCCCGTTCCCATGGGCTGGCTTGTGCCCGCGGGAATCGGCGTAGGGCGTCAAGGGAAGGACCGGAGCTGGTGAGCTGACCTAAGGTCGCTAAGCCTGTAAAGTTGATATGCATTTGATGTTTCGCTCACTGTTTCGGCGTGACGAGCATCAGGTCGAAAAAGCCATCGGTATCCACTGCATCCGTTGCAGGAGCTGGGCAGATACACGCACCAACCATGAGCCTGAGGTCATAGCAACGTGGTTGGCCGTTGCAGTAGCTGGAACCGTTCCAGTGGCAGGTGCAGTGGTGCTACTAGTGCTAGTAACTGTCAGTACTCGTCGTCATCCTCGTCGCGGTGTGGTGGGAGGGGAAGGAGCAGTAGCAGCAACAACAGCAACTGTCCTGTTGCCTCGGATGCTGCTGCTATGACTCTGCAGACAGTTGCGCGAAGCAGAACAACAGGACAATGCAAGCAACTGTTTGTTGGTGCAGCTACCCGAAACCCTCGGCCCTGTCTCACCATGAGGGTGGGACGAACTGTATATGTCGGGCAGCGACAGCACCCACGAGCTTCTGTTCCGAGGTGCCATGGACCGACCCGGCGGCGCATACTCCTTGCTCAAAGTTTCACCCTGCCTCCTGAAGGTTGGCAAGTTCAGAGTCAATGATGGGCCTATAAAAGTTGTAGGTCAGCTGTAGGGCTTCCGGTGGCGGCCGAGCACACCTTAGCCCTCAACTCACGTGAAGCTCAGCAAGCTTGCATGCCCTACTGTGGCTTTTCAGCTTCGCTTTAGTTACCCCCTTGAAGTCCGAATTTCAGTCCCGGGGCCTTGAGGCTGAAGAGCCACCATCACCTTTAGCTGACCAGAATGATCGCACTTGTATGCAACTAGGTGCGGACATAGCTTTCTGGGCTCATCCTACAGTAAGTGCCAAAGGTTGTTTGCCTGTTGCCGGCATCTGTGAAACCAACAGCTGGTAGCCACATGTTGGTCGGCAAGGCCCTCCACCTGAATAGCAGCGCATCTCGCCGCCAGTGGATTTGGGCCGTTTGGCCGTGATGCTAGTTCGTGCCCGGTGCTTAAGGGCTTCCGTTTAGAAAGATGCGCCTGGGCAACGCAAAGCGCGAGCTGCCCCAAAGCTGAGGGTCAGTGCGTTTAATCGGACGCTTCTGCGCCGGGTCGCAGCTGGATGCTAAGAAGGCATCCAAGGCCAGAAAGTTCGTCTCGAGTTGCCTTCTGCATCAAAAGCAGCAGGAGTTTCGTGGTGTAAGCTCTTGGGAATGCTGGACGGCATGTGAGAGGCCCTGAAACGGTTTTACATTAATGAAAACTGTTCAAGATTGATCTGTCCTGGTATGTAAGCTGCATGCAGCAAGTCTGTGAGTGCAGGAAGGTATAAATATAATATGATGTAATTATGTAGCATACATTCTTGTATTAAGTTGTCATGTTATATTAGTTCCAAGATTAGATAAAGCAACATAGTAGTACAGTATATTATGAGATAATCGAATGCGGGTGTACTACACTGTAAGTTGATATGGTAGAGTAGAGTAAAGAAGAGTAGAGTAGAGTATTGTGGTGTAGTGTATTGTATCGTACAGCACAGTAATTATAGTGGAATATACTTGAATAGAAGCAACTGGAATACAATATAACACAAGGTAACATGATACAGTTTATTGTATTGTTATACAGTATGGTGTAATGCAATAGAGCACGATATCATAGAATGCTCTTTTGTGCTATGCTGTGTTGTTTTTTGCCATGCTCGATCTCAGCTGTGCATACATTTGTGCAATTGCATGCATGTATATACACACGTATATGATGTGTATGCATCGTTTGGTTGACTGCGTGACTGCATGTATACGTATACTATGCCGTACTATGTATACATGTATAGCTACACATGTGAGTATGGGTATATACCTCTATATGTACATGAACGCATGTATACACACACACGCATACATGGACATGCGTGGGTATGCATGTACATACATGTAAGCACACATGCATTGGGCAGGTTGCTGGTTTAGCGTAGTCAAATAATTGAAAGGGCATGAGGGATTGATACACATAGTCTGATTCAGGGTACCTGAACTGTCGAAGACGATGTCCTGCGATTGCGCAGCCTTGAGCCAGTGTTTGCGAGTTATGTTCAGTTCTCAATTTGTCTGGTGTTATGTCACAAGGTTCGAGGCTGGCAACGTAAAGCGGGTTTGGGCTTGTTTGTTTGCCAAGGAGTCAACAAACGCTTTTGGGAAAATAAGACCGAAATAAGACGCAAATAAGACTGAAATAATAGCCAAATAAACATGGAATAGGCAGAAATAAGCAGTAACCATCACCCAACATAAGCCAACATAATAAAGACTAATAAAGATTAATTGTGTTCTTTGGGGAGGGGCGGTGTTCTTGGAGGGGGTCTGTGATATAAGTTGAGGTGGTGAGGGGTGGGGGAGAATTGCGACTTTGTGTAGCTGCTCGATGCTGCTCGCAAAGGGGGGTCTCCTGGTCTTGCTTCACACTCATGTAATGTTGGTCTCTTGGCACTGCGACCTCCGCACCTTGGCTCAGAAAGCCTCCACGACTCCTTGCCAACGTGCTGCCCCTCCCCTGGGCCGAGGCTTAGAGTGCAGGCTTGATAGCTGTTTGGGGGTGGTTCCGGCAGAGGCTGGGTGAACGCGTCGAAGTGAACCATTGCGGGGATCGAGCTTTGCCTCAGGGCCTTCCGGATTCGGGAGCCTTTGAGGGTCTCTTCTGCTGGCATGAATATGTTTCGACAGGTACCCGAAGCGGAAAACCTAAGAACATGCCCCAGCAGTGGCCGTCGCATGTGGAGATTCGCGAGTGGGGTCCAGATGGCTGCCTGCAAAGCACAAGTCCTGCTCTAGGCACTTCCACCAACCGAAGGTAAACCGTGGTGCAGGAGTCAGCATCTCCTGAACATGGTCCTTGGACAGTTACATTTTGAGATATGTTGAGATTGTCATCTTCTCCACTGAAGGCTAGGAATGTTTCTCTAAGGCAAGAATGCACAACCGTGGGGGCCCGCAAACTGGCAGCAGCAGCTTGAAGCTACATCGTGGCCAAATGCCAAGACTCCTCACCAGGCTTCGCGAGAAGATGTCGATGTCTTTGGCACCGCATCCTGTAGGCATCAAGGTGCCTGCGCTCTGTCTTGTGCTCGTTCTTGCGCAGTCTGCATGCAGCTCCATCCACCATCCCACCTTATGTTATCTCAGTTTTCAGTTACCTGCATCGTGTTTCTGATACGATGGTCTGGTAGGGCTTGGCAGCAGCAAGCACATTCAGGAATGTCGGCTGCCAGCAGGAATGCTACAGATTCTTGTGAAATTCCAAAGCATCGTCTTCTTACATGCAGAAGCCCCAAACCAAGCAGAGCACGAAGCCGCGGAAAGGTCCCTTGAAGGAAGCGACCACAAGCCCGAAGACGTAAACTTGAAGCCTCCACAGCGTTCTGGGCCTCTGCCAGTTCTGGACCTCCATCTGGAGGGCAAACAAGGACTGAGTGAGTGCAAAATCTAGTAGAACTTGTCTTCATGCATGTGACATGTGGAGTGTGCTACGACTGCTATGATGCTCCTGCTGAGTACCCTATGCTATTCGGCCTGGAGTATGGCTCAGCCGGGGTTTTGCTCTTTATGTATGTACCTGTGTATATCTCTATATATATATATACACATACATTCATTTATTTACACGTGTTTTCAGTATGCATGTCTGACTGTCTGTCTGTCTGTCTGTCTGTCTGTCTGTCTGTATGTATGTATGTATGTATGTATGTATGTATGTATGTATGTATGTACTTGTGTATGTATGTACGCATGTATGTACGCTTGTCCGATCGTGCATACTTCTAAAGCTCTCGCATAGTTCGGACCCTAGTTTTGCAGCTAGGAGCTTGCTTCCACTTGCGAGGACCTTCCGTACCCCGAGATCCACGCCAAATTCCAGAATTGGTACGGGCACGCGTTCCACCGCCAGTTCGGCAGGTCCGCAAGGGATCGTAAGGGGTATCAAGAGTGTTGTTCAAGGTTCTTGCATCGCAACATGCAGGTCCAAGCCGAAACATGCGGTGTGCTCTGTTGGCCACAGCTCGGAGCTACTTGTAATGCCCAATTCCCTATATCATGGTAAGTAGTGCCGTGACGAGAATAAGGATATGCGTGTATACCTCGAACTTTATATACATTCATAATCCGCATATATGGGAGTTTCCGAAAATTGGGGGTACCTTATTTTGGGGCCCTTATAATAAGGATCCTACTATATGGGGTGCTATATTAGGGTCCCCTATTTTGGGAAACCCCCATATGTATGAATGATTCGGACCTCGGCAGCAGTTTGCACGGTATTCGACCACAAGAGCCCAGGAGGGACTTGATAGATGCCTTGGGGCATCCGGGAGTTTCGGCAAATTAGGGTTTAGGGCACTGGAGGGAGGCAGTAAACTGAAGTTGGTCTCCTCGGTGCGATCGGGAGTTTCAGAATGTACGGAACCCTTGTGTTATACACTCTGAACAGTGGCACCCTTATTCATGATAAGGACCCCACGAAAACTGAGACCCCTAAGTTTGCGCAGTGCCGTCGTCCCTGGCGAAACGCTAAGAAGCTAGGTACTTCTACGCCCACCGCGCCGGCAAGATGGGCGCGTGGGCGCCTTTGGTGATGTTCGGCGTGGGCTTCAAGATCGTCACGATGTGCCCCGGGATCGCCTCTGCCAGAACTGAGAGCCGCGACGTTTTCGGCCGGAAGAACAGCGACGAGTTCTGCAGGTACTACGGAACCTTGCGGGACACCAACGCTGCGTCGGATGCCGCCCTTGCAGCGCACTCAGTACATCTGTCCTTCGCGACTTCAACCCATAGGATAGGCCCATAGATGACTGAGAACGGTACCATGTCGCAACAGCTAACCACGAGGTTGCGTAAGTTACAAGACCTCACCAACATGCATAGTCAATCTTCGTGCGCGGTTTGCAGTTCTCGGCCTTTTTCAAGGTTTGTGGTCGAAGCCTAAGCTTTGGGAGGTTCCAAATTTAGAGTTGCTTTACCAAGTACATTATCGGTTTCAGGTCGATCTACCCAGATCTTTCCATTCTCCGTCTGTTAGCAAAACTGCTAAGACCTTTCGGACTGGAGTCGCACAAACGAAACACCGAACTTCTGGGTTTTGCTACTGAGGCGTACGGCCAGAGTGGCTACAAGACGAACCCGGTGCCAAAGTGACGAGAGGGCGGTGGCAGTAACCTTTCCCCACTACTTAAGGGGCGATGGACGCCAGAACAGACTCAGCAGCTCGAAGATACCTAGCAAAGCATCCTCTGACAAGAGCTTTCACCATGAAGTCTACTCGACAGACATACGCCTTCTCGCAGGTAGTTCACATCAATGGAACTTGACACCTCGACAGTGGCAAGCGCAAGCCCCTGAAGATGATTTTTTCACTCAGGCAGTGCGATGGTTTATGTGCGGTAGAAATCTTGGATGTCGGTTTTGGATGCTGCAAAAAGCTGGGCACTGCCGACGTCCGCTGCGACCCTGCGCCAGTTGCACGACATTGCGTGTGTCGCCTGCTTGCTTCGGAGACGTGAGTGTCTGAAGGTCCCATTTGTTCCGGTTAGGGTTTAGGGTTTAGGGTTTAGGAGATTGAGCATGGGCATGACATGTGCAGCGTTGGAGCAAGAAGCGGGTGGGGACATTTTGTCTGTGCCTGCGACACAGACATGTCCGCGGCCCATTGAGCACAGTCAGCCGCTAGCAGGAGAAAGCCGCCACAGAGCTTTATTACTTGTAGCTGTAGCTGTCATCATCATCTCCCTTTCTTCTCTGAACTCACCGTCAGACTGTCAGGTCCTCCGGGATGTTTCCCACACCGGGCCCTGGCGTCCATGGCGGCCCGCCGAGGAGCTATGCCCGAAAAAAGTAGCAAACGTGCGCCTTCTTAGGGTCTCCTTGCAGGCAAGACATGCCCGCCACGGGCTGAAAGGAACTTCAGAGCCGCCAGATAGCTATCCCTTGTCATCCCTTGTCCAGGACTGGCATGGTGATGTGGCAGGCGCGGGCCGACAGACTGCAGATTCTCCGGGTCTCAGGGATGTGAAGTGCGATGCTTGTCATCTCACGAAGCTGCCAAGTGGATTTACATGTTGCATGAATGGTGCTGGTCCGATCTCCACGACAGAAACGGTCACTTACCGATTGCGCCCCTGACCTCGCTCCACGACAAAACCCTTTTGCTGCTTCCGCCAGCCTCAGCCGGGAGTCCGGCTGGTGAAGATGAATCTGCAAGGAGAGCAGGCACGACGCACCATAATTTTTCATGACGTTTTCGTTACAGGGTAGCGGTCATGAATACTGCTACATACTTTAGGGACCCAAAAAGCACATAAGCATAAGCTGTTTACAGGGATATCCCTACCTTATTGGGCTTCATTATAAGGGGATTTATATGGGATATCCGGAACCCATTTTTTGCTTATGTGCTTTTTTGGGGCCCTAATACTGCTATGCCGTCTCGAAACACTATGTTTATATTTTCTTCTACTCTGGACTTTTCAAATATACTGGTGTAGCTCATTATCGCGAGAAGCTTTGTGCACCGTGATGTGTTCGACTCGCCGAAAATGTCTTGTGGGCGCAGGCGCCCTACCCCACGGGCAGTGCCGGCAGCACACTGTGCGCCTTGGAGGACATGCTCAGCTGCTGGTGGGCCTCTGTTGCAAAGCATGTCACAGCAACAGCACGGCTGGTACCGACAGTAGCTGGAGAGTAACTGCAGGGTCCATGTCAGTGGAAGTGTAAGCATCAGCAGACCGTGTAGAGGTTGTGAGCGTAATGGCGGATCCAGCTTGGCCAGCCATCGAAGCCGAGCTGCATGAATAGCTGCCAAAGCAGGACACAAAGTCCGCGATCACAAAGGCCGCAAAGACCGTTCTTGCATCTTTAAATTTGGGGTGTAAGCTACAGTCCTCATTACGTTCCATGTCCATGTCGGTACAGTCTGTTCATGGCGCCCGGCTTCAGCAGTGCTTAGGGTTGCAGGCATAGTCAGCGCACAGAGCTGCATGCCTCGTCCCCAGCAGCTCCGTGAAAGCAAGACAGGAGAAAGCGCGGATGGAGACTTCAAGCGCAAACCACCGGTGTGCTTTGGAGTAGTTTGCTAGGAAAGCAACAGATAGTGTTCACCTCCAACCCCGGTGTCCAGATTGAACAGGGCTTCCCGCATTTGGTTGTCAACCGCAGATTTAAACATCTCAGCAATCATACATATATATATATATATACCTTGGGCAGCGGTTATTCGTTAACAGCATGTCGATAGCCTTACTCTAACCCCCCAGGTACCTACGATATGAGGTACTACAGCCCCTAAGGCCTTATATAGTAGGTACCTGGGGGGTTAGGGTTACTCAAAGTCACACAGAAAAATAGTCTGCCGGCAAGCCTTGCCTTGCTCTTTGGTATGGAGGCGGAGATGGAGATCAAGCCCGGTACAGGCTGTCAGGTGCTGGCAGGGTCCAGAGCCCAGTGGGCCTTCATGTTTGGTGCTAGCTAGGGTCACTTCTAGTCCTAGTTGGGTATCAGACTTTATTGAGTTCCAGCTGCGACATTTGCCAAGAGGTTCTGAGACAAAACGCGGGCCGTCGTAAGACCACCTTATTGCCTTCGTTTGGATGCTGATGTGGGTCTCGCCCCCATCTGCACTTTCTGCGATGACACTCAAACTGTCGTTGCATTTATAGCAGGATGGCCGCGGTTCGTTTCCGC